TTATTGTTGCGCTTTAAGTGAAAGTTTACAATTCAAGTTAAAAGGACACTTTTTTAAAAAGCATTTCTCCCTTTTGTCTCCCATCACTGTCCCTGCGTGTTTGTGCCTGATTTGTGCCCACCGCCCACCCCCCCACCCTCCCATCACCCCTGTGACCACATGTGCCCGACAGACAGAGAATATCCAGGTGGCCTGGTGCTTGCAAACTTGTCAGATGTTATTCAGAGCAATAAAGTACACATCATACAACTTTTCGGTATATAGTTACAGGGAAACCCTGTTTAGAATTCACTAATTGGGAATTTGTGATAATTCGAGGAAGGGCTGGCTGAAGTTAACCTTTGTACTATCTACGGGGCGGGGGTGGGGAAAGAGTTCACTGAAGTTCTAAATAGTGTAAACAAGATTGGAAGGGGAATGATTATCTACTTAAAAGAGCCAGTTGTTTTGAAAAGCTTTAGAAGTATCCTTTTACATACAAACAGGGTAATTATGACTTAAACAAAGGCTGGCCTGTTTCTCAGGCTTCTTTGAAATGTCAATTAGGAATTACTGTGGTCTATTGACCAAGGCAAAACCCACCCCTGCCGACCAGGCAACAGTTGGTTAGCTAGCTTTCACTTTATTAGAAAATAATAAACCCCGGGTTCTTTTAAAGCAGTATAATTTAATTCAAGCTTTTCACTAGACAGTTGGTCCATCCCATAGTCTGAGCGAGGGTTTGCTAATTACCAGCATACAACAATCAGGAATGCAGGGAGCACCTACAGCCTTCACTAACTTAGTGGTACCGCTGGCTAACAGGGGAAAATATACAAAGAAAACTCCTCTAGGGAAGTGGCTTTTTGTTTTTTTCTCTCTTACCTGTAGTGAGAAACACAATCTGCTTTGCAGCCAATACACGCAACACAGAAACAAAAACAATACCCTTATTATGTGCGCTGCACTCGGTTATTTTCCATTTATTTTTCTATAGACGCTAGTCACAACCCACTGAGTTGATTTCACAATCCGTGAATGGGTCGCTGGTTTGAAAACACTCCTCTAGAATATGGTGGGCAATAGTATTCCGTCATAAGAGAAAGGGGTGGCGGCGGGGAAGAGTCTGCAGACGCTGTCTGATTTGCTTGATGATGTCCAGCTGGGGGCAGCGCCTGCTGGGGCACCGGCCTTGGGATGGAGCAGGGTGCCCCAAGCACACAAGAGTTCTCACTTACCCTGCTGGCCCTTTCTGAAGCCTGGCCCTCTCCCCATTCTCGCTCTCTCAAACCCTTGGCCACCAACCACACTTCTCTAGTTGCTACTGCCTCTTGCAAAGCTCATTCCTACCCTCACCAGTCCTTCTCTTTAGTGTAGACCACCCTGGGTGTCTGTCTGCCTGACCCACCCTGAAGCTGGCCAGGCGCACCCATCCACTGCAGATAAAGCAAGTGATGCTTTAAGGCCTGGCCAGGGTGAACTCACTCCAACTCACTTCCTAATGGCTCCTATCTCTGCTGGGTTTCTTACCCTTGGCTCATTTCCTATTAGTCGTCCTTCTCTGGTCTCTCTGGATTTGGTTTGGTATTTGGTCTAGCAAGTTTTTTCTCTAATTGCTCTCCGTTAAGAACATGGATAATGTATTATCACCATAGTAAAACTAAAATATTTGTGATTAGACAGGACCCAAGAGCCAGCTCCCCCACACTGACCAGCTGTATGACCTTGGGTATGTTATTTCATTTCCCTGATATGTCATCATCTGTAAAATGAGGAAAATACCTGTCTCACAGCCTTGTGAAGGGTAAATAAACCAAAAACCAAACCAGTTTTCCTCAAGTCAATTCCGACTCATAGTGGCCCTGTGTGCACAGGGCAGAACTGTGCTCTGTGAGGTTTTCATGACTGTGACCTTTTGGAAGTAGATCACCAGGTCTTTCTTCTGAAGTGCCTTTGTGTTGGTTTGAACCACCAACCTTTTATGCCTATAAAATACTTGCCTCAGTGCCTGGCATATGGCAATCACTCTTTACATGTTACCTATTACCATTATTGTAAATGTTGTTGCTGTTATTATTGGTTTAGATTTAACTTACTGGTTCATCTCTCCACCCATCAAAACTAAACCACACTCTCCTAGCTCAGAGTTTGAGCCTATCTACCCTGTAGACCTTAATTCCCAGCTCCCCCATTCCCTAACCCTTCTCCAAACACTTCCTATGAGTATAACCTCATTCTTGGCTGTATCTATTTCAGTGGGACACTTCCCTGCATTCCACAGTTCTCCTGCATCCCAGTTCCTGCCAAGAATTATGCTTCTTGATGTAGATGAACGTCACCAGAGGCCAGTTCTGATATTTAGTCGCATGGATGGGCTGCAGATCGGAGACAAGCCCAAGAATACCATGCCTCACCTCAAACAAGCCAAACAAACAAGTTACTATCTTCTACCATAAAAACCAGAGGAGGCTTAGGCTTATCCCATCCAGCAAGGAGGGACTGAGGAGGGGACTGTTATCCAGCCCAGACACTCACACCAGGCTTTGCATAAAAGCAACTTCCCAGCCAAGGCTAGTGTCTGCAGCCCTAGTTTCATGAACTATGTCCCACCTTACCAGTTCTGTTCCTCACTCATTAATCCGGTCCCCACATAGTATTGCTCCTCATCCTACCGTGTCCTTGACTTATCTCTTTGACTTGGTGTCATTCTCTCTTGGCTCTGAATATCCTCCTAGCCATGTTTTGTCATCTGTTTATGGCTTAACATACTTACAGATTACCTGGTTAACCCCTCCAGACATATAGCTTGTGGTTCAGCTTGACCCTTCTTCCTACAAGCAGCCATCTCCCACCTCCCAATTCTGATCTGTTCTAGCCCCATGGATAAGACCAGGAAAAGTAACAGTCTTTGATATAAATGGCTCTTGGGGTAATAGTGGGATTGGTTTTCATTCTAGATCCACAAGCAAAACATTTGGAACATGGCCCTTACTTTGTTATCTGAAAAGTAGCCATGGCCCTCATTTTACCATAGACCCTGGTGAGGTTGATGCTTGGACATCATTTATGGCTGTGTGGGAGGTGGTGGTGAACTCCCCTTGAAATTACTCCCATCTGCAGAGAATAATGGCTACAGTCATGATAATTAACAGCCCACATCCTGAAGCCAGGTAACTTAGGTCTAAATCCTGCCTCTGCAACTTCCTGTATTTTTAGTTTGCTTTCTTTGTTCTATTTAGATAAACAGGAGAATTTAAACACCATCTTGATCATATTCAGCTAGGCATATCAGAATCATTCACTAAGTTTTGGATATTAGGCCCCCTGCCCTACTTCCTCTGCCTCTGCTTTTACTAGCTCCTCCTTTTTGCATTCATGAATTCACGGGTATACCGACTCAACTGCATTACTCACCTGCCATGTCGTCCGGCACTGTGCTAGACCACAGAGTTGCAAAGGCAACAAATCATGGACTCTACCTTTAAGGGTGGGTAAATATAGATAAGGGACAAAAAGAGACTTGCAAACAAATACATTCATTAAAATGCTAAGGATGATGAGGTAGAGAACTTTTGGGGGTACACTGGGGCATGCGGGAGAACATGGTGAGTTCTGTCTGAGGGAACAAGCTGAAGGAGGGTATCAAGGAGTAAAGTCTTCAGGGAAAAGGTCGATGCTTGAACTGAATCTTGACATTCTCCTGCAGCCTTCTGAGGCAATCTGAGTAAGGCAAAGTCCCCACAAGTAGGTTAAGAAATGTCACCCCAAGTCCTGGATTCTAGTGGTCTGGTTCCAATGGTTGGGGCTCCCACATTGCCCCCAGGTCTCTTTGTTGAGATTAGTTAATGACTTCTGAGCCCGGTCACATCTCTCTGGTCTCTCTCCCTATCCCCTCCCTGTCCCCCATGAAAGGCTAAGTCCTTCATATTAGGCTTCAGTCTTAATCATGTATAGTACCCAAGTCCTTCCCCAAGACTTAAGCCCTTCTCTGAACTCTGGCCCAGTGACCAGAGTTCCTGCTGCTTTATCTTGTCTTCCTCTGGGATCTGGGCCTTGTTTTACATCCCAGCTGGGGTTCTGCCATCCACAGAAGGATGTGCAGAATGGCCACCCACCTACCAAGGCCTGCCTGAATTCCTCACAGCTGGGGTCCCCACTTAACTGGAAAAGCCAGTCTCAACTATGCCTGCCTGGATTGTGGCTAACTTGCCATAACCTTTGGATAACAACTGTGGACAGCCCACAGCCCAGCTGCCCCTCTGGTTCATGCTGCCTCCCCTACCTGGTCTACTCTAGGAATTAGATCTTATTACAGCTTTTCCATCTCCTCCTCCTCCCCAGCCCCTAGCTGACACATGTAGCAATATAGCCCTGTTGCTAGCGGAGTCACCTGAAAACATGACACTAGAGAGGATGGGTAATTCTATTCCAACTAACTCATTCTGAGTCATGGCAACCCCATGTGTTACAGAGTAGAACTGCTCCATAGGGTTTTCTTGGCTGTAATCTTTATGGAGGCAGATTGCCAGGTCTTTTTTCCATGGCACCACTGGGTGGGTTCAAATTGCCAACCTTTAGGTTAGTAGTTGAGTGCAAACTGTTTGCACCACCCAGGGACTTTTCTATTCCAGCTAACTTCACCAATTCATTCATTCAGTCAGATCATCCAAATATATGAGTAAATTTAAATCATTTCTCAAATAGTATATTTTCAAAGAGGTTCCTTATTTGTATTGCAGACATAAACAAAATACATACATTCAAGGCATAAAATATCTGCCTTGTGCTTTTTTGAGTAAAAATCACAGTGGATGCAGATCTTTGATGTTCCGGTGGTGCCATAAACAAATTCACGGGCCTGTTTTTGGACAAACATTTGTCTGAAATTTTACCTCTTGGGTTCCTAGTGCATTTTTTGTTAGTTGAAAGACTTTATTGTAAAAGCTTCCTCACCTAGAGCTCTGGTGGGTTTTCATCATCTCTTTCATTTGGCTTCAAGTAAGGTAAAGAGTTGGTAAAGCTCAAAATTTACTGAATTTTGTGTTAACGTCAGGTATAGAATTTTCCTCTTGAATATCTCCCTTCTTTGGAGTTGCTAGTGAAGTGTTTTGAAGGAAATGGCGCGTCAACCACTCGTTGGTTCTCATGGCTTTGCAATGGAGGCAGGGCCTTTCCCTAATTTGGTAACCTCCCAGATTCTTTTGCCTCTGGGCTATTTTTCTCCTCTTGATACTGGCTGGTGATGGCTGGTGTTCACTAGCACTCTCTTTCCACGAGGAGAGTCCCGAGTTAGATTCTTCACTGTCATAGTCGGTAGTATCACTATCATGTTGGATCTGATTCCTCTGGTTGAATTGCAAATGGCGCCTGGCTCGTCTTCGTTCAAGATAGGCATTGATCAAAGCCACTTCTGAGTCAGTTACGGGGGTCAGTTGGATATGCTTTGGTTTCTTCACTGTTTGTAAAGAGTCCCAGATATCATCTTTGCTGTGCTGCTTATAGGAAGCATCTTTGCTTGCTAAAAACCAACAAAACAAATCAACAAGTTAGGCACATCGTTGGCTACTATAACTTCGTATGACCTAGGGACGTGTGGACTTACTCTTAGTGGCCAGTTACCAAGCCACCACTTTTCTCCAGTCATCTGCAGTGTTGGCAGCTGGCTGCACTGTCTAGTACTACACCCTACCTCCTACAGTCCAGAGGGGTCAGATGGGGGCTTGACATATCACTTTAGAAGTTTTATGGACCCTTGATATAAGATCAAGGGGAAAGGTCTCCAAA